AGCACACGCACAGCTGCAGAACCGGGACTGTGTGTTCGAGAAGCGCCCGCTTCGCGCAGGCGGAATGTCTGAGGTGCGGATATTCCAAAGCCCCTGCCCCGAGCTCTGCCCCGCCCCGCGCGCGCCCTGGAACAGCTGAGCGGAGCGCAGCGGCCTCTTGCTCTCATCGCGAGTTCAGCTTATGAGCCGGGGGTGCCCTGCTGAATGGGCAGCGGGTTAACTTTGCTGCGGGCTAGCGCAGGCTCCTGGGGGCTTCCTCGAGGGGACCAGCTGGACGTGGTGGAAAGGCGCGGAGAGATGCCTAGACATTCCCTCTGCAGAGATCTCTGAGCCTCCAGGCCCTTGGAGGTGATGGCTGTTTCCTCCGATTGCCTGGCCTTTCTTAGTAAGAAACGGCCTTCAGGTGGTTGAACCTGGGGTTACATTTGCAAAACCTTGGGTTGCAGGCAGCTCACCACGCCTCTGGACCTGTTCTCCCGGAGGCTCAAAGTGCTCTGCGCACATTCCTCTATCAAGTTTCCTAGCGAAGCAGACATTGTCACAACTGCACAAAAAGGGGACACCCGACTCCAGCCAGACCACTTGCCCAGAGCCACCCAATCAAAATCTAACCGCTCTGGACTTGGTTCGATGCCCAGATATTCATGGGGCCACTGGAGCAGTTTAAGTGGCCTACGCTGAGTTCAGTAGGTTTAAGTTATGTTTTGAAATAGGAGAGGGACAGACCTGTTTTGGAGGGAGAATGGAGATGTTGAGGGGAATGGGATGGTATCTGCAGAGACTGCAGATGTCCCCGACTTAACCATCGCTCGACACAGTTTTCCGACGTTGCGAGGGTGCTAAAGCAATAAGCATTCAGTAGGGACCGTACTTCAGATTTTGAAATGTGGCCTTTTCCCAGGCTAGCATTTTGCGGTGGGATTCTCTCTCCCCATGCTGGGCAGCGTCTGCAAGCGCAGCGCCCATCGGCCACTTGAGCACAAGTGTGGACAGCGGGTACCTGTACGGTACTGTGTTGCCAGTGCTTTTGGATATTGTGTTCTAGGCTAAGCCATAACGTTGGGTAGGTTATGGGTGTTAAATGCATTTTCGACTTACGCTATTTTCATCTTATGAAGAGTTTCTCTGGATGTAACCCCATCATAAGTCTTAAGACTTAAGGTGTGAACTAGCCCAGGTGACTGAGTGAACCATTGTTCGGGCGGACAGTCACGGCGTTTGGCTGGTTCACGCTGGGAGTGGCTGTGGGGGAGAAAGCTGGGAAGGTACCTTCGAAAAGGCTTGCGTTCCAGCCCAGGAAGTTTACATTCTACATTCTAGGGTGTTTCAAAATGCTGACACGCCGAGCTCAAAAGGTTCGCCATCACTGCTCTAGGGCCTTGTCACTCCATGTTTTGCCAGAATTATTACAGAAGCCCCTGCTGCGTCCAGGGTAGGGTCCGAGTCCGGTACTTTCTCTGAAGACCCCGCAGAGCCTGGCCTGCTGTGTGCTTGATTTTCTCTGGGCGCCTCACAAACACTTGGTGATTGACTCCGTTTCTCTTGATTCAACTTCTTTTCTTTTGTAAATATCACTAAAGGTCGACACTCGCTCTCTTTCCGCCCCTTGTTCTTGCCTCTGCCTATTTTAGAGTGTTTTGCTCCTTAGGACTTGTCTCTGGAGCGTCTGAGCGAGGATGGGATGGCGTAGCCAATGCTGCTGGATCTTACGAGGGCCCAGGACAGTCAAGGCTAGTGATGGAATTCAGCTGAAAATGAGAGGAGGGAACTAGAGGCACAGACACAGACGAGAGTAAGGCTTTCAGTAAAGCTCTGAATATAGAAACCTCGAGTCAGAGTAGAGCCCAGGGGGCAGTTCTAGAAGGCAGGGTCTGCAAGGGAAGCCCTGGTGTCAGCTGTGTGCCAGGTGACGGTGAATGCTGAGCGGGTGGCAGCTCGTGTGCACCTGCTTGGGGCGGCAGTGGGCAGATGGAGCGATCCATTCGCCCAGAGTGACCCCCAGAGGCTTCTTCAGTCCTGCGGCTGCTGGAGGATTGCTTTCTGAGCTGGAGCGCCCAGGAGGTTCTCTAAGTGGCATTGGCCATTGCTGAAACCAGGGCTTTTTGTGCCCATGTGTAGGCACAGCGCTCCCTGCAGGTTTGCAGTAGAAAGTTCTACCAAGATGAGAGGAAATGGGGTTCTAGAGAAGTTGAACACAGTGGAAAGCAGGCAGGCCCTATTCCTGGAAGCAGG